TGTTATGAGATCAGAGTAGTATTGCTTCTTTGCATCAGATATAAGGTTGTTTACCAATACAGATTGCTTAGCATACATCTCTCTGTGAACAGATAACCCAGTTGATCTCCATTTCCTCTCTAAGCGGCGACGTTCTACCTTTTGCTTACGGATGTCAGGTGTTAGCCACGGAGTAGCAGCAGCTTAATTAGAGCTTTACACTGGTCGACACCGACCCTATGCAGATGAAGTTTGTTTACCACACCAGCAATTTCTTCGTTGACCTTCGGTGCTTTAGTCTCAAGGTCAAGTTCCAACTGGCTGGAATAGCTGGACAACACACCTCCTTTATCGACATCTTCGCTTATCTTAGCGTTGTCATTACGCTTCGCTATCGTAAGTCTTGTTGGATGCTTATAAACGAAGCAACATCATAAGGTTCGTAAATTTCGCTCTCTCTGTTGTCGGATTCTTCGAGAACTTCGTCTCGGCCGTACATAAAGTCGCTTAATTGAGTCATATTTACATTTATGCGCTCAATACTGTCCAAAATAGCTTTGTTTACTTGTGCATTAGTGCCCTCTGTGGGGTCACCAGCTTCATTGCCAGACATAATCTAACAGAGAACCAAATAAATGTCAGAATGACCCATAAATAAGGTTAACATGGCGTCGCCACATGGTTCTCTGTGAATGCCTCTACGAGGTCATTCGGGTGAACTTTTCTATTAAATATTTTATATAATGTGCCTCTAGCAGAGTACACTTCACCCTGTTGTTTTCCTGGAAGAAAAACGAAAAATACTTACCTCAAAATACGAATGAAAATCCAAAATAACACGGACTAACTAACAAGACATTCACTCCCATAGATAGTCTTGGTTCAATGACCTGTGACGTCACTCCCGATAGGCTTTGTTCGTTCTTCATGTCGGTTCGAAGTTACGGTTTATGAGATAGAATTCATAGGAATTTGTTAAAATTTAGAACCGTATTTTTGCTGATTTTATAAGCTCATACTATCTGTTAGCTATACATTCGCCTCTTACGGTTTCTTATGTTTCATAGCCTCGAAAACACGCCAATACTAGTTAGCGAAAGAACAGAAGATTTAAGGGTTATTTAAGATGTTTTGTCACGCAGTTTACTTGTGCTATATAACTTTACTTTTAAGAACGACCTTTTGCTTTGGAAAGAGAGGAAAAAGACCAATGGAAACGGGAACTGAAAGCCAGGAAAGGCGGCGAAATCCTTCGAAAAGTCCTCTGGTTTCATAAAATATGGATCAATTCCATCATAGATAGATATTTTGTTTAAATATCTTGACTTGGGTATGCAATCAAGATAACTAACGTACTCTGAAAGAGCGCTTTTTAAGGCAGATTGATCGTTAACTTGACCCAAGCGAGCCGCCTTCTTTGTTTACTTGACCGTCACTTGGAAACCGGAAGCAAAATTTCAGTCAAATTGTCACGTGATTGCAAGCAAAGAATTCAATCTCTCTTTTGAAAGTGGAGTAGTACCTATCAAGTTTAAGACTGCTAATATGATTCCAATCCATAAAAGTGGTTCAGATGTTATTGTAAACAATTATAGACCTATATCTATTTTATCTGTTTTTAGCCGTATTTTAGAAAAGCTGATGTTTTCCAGACTTTCAAAATTTACTGACAATAATAAAATATTGTAAAATAAGCAATTTGGTTTTCGACAAAACCACACTACATTCCACTCCATTTTATCTATTACAGACTTGGTTCAAAAAGCAATTGATGACGGCACTTACTCATGTGGTTTATATCTTGACCTAAGTAAAGCTTTTGATGTAGTCAATCACAATATCTTACTAAAAAAAAAACCCTATCATTATGGCCTGAGAGATGTGTATGATTGATTTACCTCCTACCTCACCGGGAGAAGCCAATATGTATCTATTGGGAATACTGACTCAGACATCATGAACATTACAACAGGCGTGCCTCAGGGGTATGTGCTTGGCCCAATCTTATTCTTACTGTATATTAATGATTTTCATCACTCCTCTAATATACTAAACTTCCCACTTATTCGCTGATGATGCAAACCTTTTCTACTCAAACAAAAAACTTGATGTCCTTGAGTCTACCCTTAATAATGAACTCATACATGTACAAAACTGGTTACAAGCAAATAGACTCTCTTTAAATGTCGAAAAATCAAACTGTTATTTTCCATTCTCCTCAAAAGAAAATATATTTCAAAATAAAGTTGTACTTGTGCAACAACCGCCTCAAACAAGTAACTAATATTAAATATCTAGGGGTCTTTTTGATGAAAATCTAAGCTGCAAACATCACGTTTCTTTTATTGGTCGCAAAATAAAACGTGGTATAGGAAGTTAAGGAGTTCTTAAAACTGTAGGAAGACAACTTTAAATCTTTCGTAAACCTCCTTATGGATAGCTTTAATAATCGCTTTGACAAACTTTCCCGTGAAGTAAAAAATATCAGGGATAGTTTGCAATTCACCCAGAATGAATTTGACTAAACAAAGGACAAAATGAAGAATATAAGAACACTGGAAACAGAATTATCAACACTCGAGAAAGAATTACAGGAAGCAGATGATAAAATCGACTATTTAGAAAATCAAAGTCGCAGAAACAACATAAGGATCAGTGGAATATCCCAAGATCGTAACGAGTAAAACCTACTAGAATTACTTCTCACAGTGCTACTTTAATTGATAATATTTACACAAACAGTTTTCATGTAGTCGACAACATACATCCAGGTATTCTTCATACTGATATCTCAGACCACTTCCCAGTGTTTGTGGATGGTGGTGGATGGTGGTGCAAAGCCCATGGTATTACTAAAATCTAAAAACGGATTTTCTCCAAAGCTGGAGAAGAAAACTTTATTCGTGACCTATCACTACAAGAATGGTTAGTCCTTTATGCAATCAAGGATCCCAAAGATCAATATTCGTGTTTGATTGAAATAGTCACAAATTGGTACAACAAGCAATTTCCCGTCAAGAGTATCAAAGTAAATCTTAAATCCAAACAATCGCAATAGCAATAGCACATCACGTTCATGCTGCTGCCTTTTACTTTTAAGGGTCGTTGTCAAAGAGGAAATAAAGAAGGAAGTGGTTGAAGGACCTGAACATAGAAAACCTCAAAAGAGATAAGCACATAATGCAGTACAACGTATTAAGTGATCAATACTTAGGTCTACTCTTTATTTTATTTTCAGGTGCACCATGGTCCTTGACGAGGAAGAAGATCTGGAGCCGCCACTGTCATCTGACTCAGAGACGGAGGAGAAGGAGGAGGATGATGACTTGGACGACTTGGCCTCCGACATATCTCTCCCTACGTTAAAGGGGAAGGGAAAGGGAGCAGCTTCTAAGAACAAGAGCCTAAAAGAGCTGCTTCTGAGTACCTTCAGTTCCGAATGTCGCCGCACGGGGGAGATATGTCGGAGGAACAGGCCAAGCAGGACGCGGCAAGGGTACTTGATCATCACCTATCGGTAGTTTGATATAGGTATGGATGCTAACCTTTTCACACGTTTCTTTTAAGATCAAGAAAATGGCATGTGCGGTGTACCCCTCCGGACCGATAATGGACTGCTTTGACAATCCCGATGTTCTGTGGGAGCGCTTCTTCCAACCCCACAGGGATGGCTCGGCAAAACACAAATTAGCGGGCACCACTCATTGTATTCAAGGTTCTTGGAAACATTTTTAAAGTGGCTGCTGCATCACCGCGCACATCTGCTCTCCTTCGAGGAAATGGTAACTATTACAGTTAGATGTCATGTCGTGAATTCACTGTTCCCTCACTTAGATATTTTTCCTTTTTCAGCCTGCCTACACCCGCCTGCACACTCTACAACAACCGTGGCGACGCAGTCTGCGAAAACAATGCAGCAAGCAGTGAAACAAGCAAAAAAAAGGACCGCTTACTGCAGCTGTCCCTTGAGGAGGTAACTTGACTTAATGAAAAGGCGTTTATTTATTCATGTGAACTAATCCATGGTATCTTATGCTAAGGTGAAGGCCATAATTGAATCCGACCATGGGAGAAAGTGCAAGGAGCGATTGCTGAAATGCCAAACCCTAACACTAAGCACAATAAGCACCATAGAAGAGGCCTGCTACCTTACCAATTACTTGTTGCCCGTGCTGGTCGTGGTATTTACAGTGAGATATGAAATTGTAAGCCTTAGCTCATGTTTTCATTTTCGGCCAACTAAAAGTGGTTCTGCTTTTTTAAGAGCATCTTTAATTTCCAATGTGATGTTACAAGATTATGTCAACAGCCGTAGTACCCGTGACTCTGAAGGGTATTACGAGCTGTCTGTGCTGAAACACAAAACTTCCGACAGCCTTGGTCCTTATAAGTCAGTGCTAGAGAGATCAAAAGGGAACATTAGAGGAACACAGTCAGTTATTAATGAAATTTGAACAAGAAAAAGACTCATGCATTGATAACCTTTTAAACATCGGCAAACGTATTACTGAAAAATCTGATATAGTTAGCATCTTGAACAAATATTTCACAAACATAGGTTCAACATTGGCAAATAATATTCCACCTACTAAGAATAGTTACAAAGACAGGTTGAAAGTGTCCTGCACTAATGATCTCTATTTCACTCCCATTTCCCCCTTTAATGTTTTAGACGAACTTTTTAGTTTAGACTCCTCTAAAGCTGCTATTTTGCAGTTTATTCGCCTACCAGAGCCCGTCAACTGTGGTTGAAACATATTCCCTGGAATTACAGTATAACATGCATTTAAAAGGAGTTTTAGGTTAGTTTCTTATATCTCCGTTATTCATATGATGCCTGTTTCTGAAGTTCCAGTAATGAGAAATCCTGCCAGGCCCGCAAGACAGTACAATGCCGTGTCGTGCATGACAGCATGGCGGTCGGAGGTGCTCTGGCTTCTCTGTATCTATTTTTCCTTTTTCGAAGTTTAGCACCCTGTCACATAAAAATTGCGGACTCTCTAAAGTCAAGATTCGTTTATGTAACTTCTTCTATAAACTTTAATTCCTGGAAGCATTTTCTTGGCCGTGAAATCATTGACAAATTTAACTGGCTTAAATGGCGCTCACCTTTATCTCTCTGTAACAAGTCTCGTAAGTCTTTACTACAAAACACATCCACCTCTGCTTCGAAAACATTGGTCTGCATCATTCTTTTACTCGCTAATGATGTTCAGTTAAATCCTGGACCGAATTCAAACAATGATACAAGTACGAGTATTGACTTTCCCTTCATGACGAAAGGCCTGCGATGTTGTCATCTAAATGTTAGGTCTTTACCTCCACATTTTGACGAAGTTAATACTCTGATACATTTAAATAAGTTGGATATTTTTGCTATCAGCGAAACGTGGTTGAACTCTACCTGGAACGATTATGAGCTTAATATCGACGTATATCAAATATTCCGACAAGATAGAGAAATGTTAGCCTCATCTTCAACGCATCATGGCGGTGGTGTAGCGATTTACACTAGATCTACTCTTCAGTGTGAAAGAATTACATTTGCTGATGTGTGTATGGAGCACATTTGCTTACAAGTAAGACAACACAAGGCAGGTCCCAAACTGTTATTTATTGTCATTTACAGGCCTCCAAATTCTACTACTGACTTTTGTCACTACCTTATGAAATTTATTGACAATGCTTACTCTCGGTATAATGAAATTATAGTCGTTGGTGACTTTAACATTGACATTCTGCAGAAGAAGAAAAGTGATCTCATCACTATTTTCAATGACGCTGGTTTTACTCAACTAATTGAATCTGCTACAAGAGTATCCGATAATAGTTCAACATTGATTGACCATGTCTATACAACACATCCTAATCGTATAGTTCAATCTTTCGTTCCTGTATATGGAATGAGTGATCATTTCCCAGTATGCTT